CAGAGTTCATTTCTGGATGATCCACATAGCTTTCTCTACCCACTTTTTCTATCCATCACAGCCCAGAGTGATTTTTGTCCTGTGAATTTTTGTAGTGCCAAACTCCTGTGATTTGTCTTATTTAGATCATGGTTATATATTCTGCCATTCATGTTTGCTTAGCTTTAAGAACTCATTCTTGAATACCCAAGTAGGTTGAAAACTCCTCCTTTAAGGCGACAAGAACATCTTATATTATTAGTAGTCCCATATTTCAACCTTTTTCAACATCCTGACATGTGATAGCTGCTAACTGACTATCTGGGCTGGTTAGACACAGTGGATGTGAATGGTAAGAAGTCTCTCCCTTTATTGGAATATTGATAGAGATTCAATACCGTAGAAAGTCAAACACCATTGTCCCCTTGGGGAAAGAGATGCAAGCCAAGAAGGGAGCTGCCCAGAATCTAAGATTAATGTGCCAATGATTTCACTTTATTCAAGAAATAAATATCTTTATTTTCATTATTGGGAAGATACTAATAATGAAGAAAATAAAGTGAAATAAGCATTGTGACATACGTGACATAAAGAGTCGCTTAAAATAGAGTTAGGAGGCTATTAAGTAAGTGAGGCCAAAGCACCCTGCGCACATCTTGTGTCCCATTCCCAAGAGCCCTATTGCTAAACCTGTTGCTAAACTCAGCTCAAGACATCCTGGAGCCATAAACATCCTGGAACAACCTCTACATGGGCATATCTGACTTTCCTTTCTTCCTTATAGGATTCAGCTCCCTCTGTACATATTGGTACTAATGTTAACCTAGGTGATTGGTACAATCACTGTTAACCTAGGCAGCCTTCATTTGCATGCAAGAATTACATTGTGTGTGCTTGGCCTTGATCAATCTTGCCCTTCCTTTACTCTGCAGTGCACAGTTTGGGCTGCTACCTGAATCTGTGTCTCTCAGATTGTGATCCTTTGCTCAAATAAATACATTTTTTTGCAGCCTATATACCCTTTTTTTTCCCTAACAATGTGCATACATATATATTGTCTGAAATAGGCAGGAAGGTTTTTTTTTGTGGCCATACTATCACTAATCTTTGCTTTTTCCCTGGCATTTACCTGAGATCACCTTGCCTTGCAGCCATCAATCTGATATCAGAAAGCAGTGGAAATGGCAAATATAGCATGGGAAACTTTAGGCATTCCTGACAATTCCAGTAGTGGAAGAGAGCCAGCATAAGAATTAATTTTAACACACTAATAGATCTCACACATTGAACCCCACTATCAAAAGAGATCCACCCAGAGAGGAAAATGCCCCTCCATTTTTAATTTAGTGACAAACTCCAAACCATTGCTTCGTTTGACTCTGAGGGAAGCCATTTTCTTCGAGCGGGACACTGTGGGGAGACCAAGGAGGGGCCTCAGCACTGTCCCCCACTTTGAAGAGGCAGGATGGGCCTCTGTTGCTTTTACCAGAAGCTGCATTCCTCTTCTGCAGGTCCCCTACCTCATTCATCTTAATTAGACAGATGCCTAAATCTTATATGTAGGTATCAATGCATGGTTTCCTGGCTAATCAATCAGATGTGACCTTCTCTTTCCAAAGCCAAGATTTTTTTTTAAAAAAAGAAACCACTGATCTGGAATGTTTCAGTACTAAACCTAAATTTACTTCTCTAACCATCAGATCCCTAATCTCTGTAGCAGGATCTTTTCTTGGTAACTGTATTCTATGGGTTCAGGTGTTTTTTTTTTGTTTTTTTTTTTTTTGTTTGTTTGTTTAATATATTTTATTGATTTTTTACAGAGAGTAAGGAAGAGAGATAGAGAGCTAGAAACATCAATGAGAGAGAAACATCTATCAGTTGCCTCCTGCACACCCCCCACTGGGGATGTGCCAGCAACCAAGGTACATGCCCTTGAATGGAATCGAACCTGGGACCTTTCAGTCCGCAGGATGATGCTCTATCCACTGAGCCAAATCGGTTTCGGCTATGGCTTCAGTTTTAAAATTATTTAAATAAACATAAGTAGACAGTGATTCTGATTAAAATAAAAAATACATGTGTCACTAATATAAGTTTATTGTAGCATTGCCATTGTTAAATTCCTTTATTGTCACAGGGAAGAGTGAAAGCCAATTTTGATGCATGAATACTTTACCTTAAATACTTCAAAAAAAGCATCAGAGTCTCTTTTCTGCTATGCAGCTCTTTTGCACATATTTCTAATTTCTCTATTGCTTGGAAATTACAGCCCAGGTGGATGCTCCTTCCCTGTTCTTGTGTAAATCCTCTAAAACAGGAAGAGTGAATGTCCAAAAACTATTGGCATACAGTTCTGTGAGAGACACAAATAACTGGAAGTCTCAAAACTTCAAATGTAATACTTGCTGGCCAAAGTCTAGTAAGATGAACAAATTTTGGACTTCAATTATTTTAAATATAGAATTTGTTCTAAAGATTTAGGAAGACAGAAAATTTTTTTTCCATATAGCACTACTTAAATTATTGTTAGAAAAAAAAACAAAATTTTTGAGTGAATAATTGTTGGATGGGATAAGTCTACCTTATTTTCTCCACCACAGCCCCATCAGCATTACATATGAATAGACAGATCATCCACTGAGTTTCCAGAGTTTTTATACTCTCTCTGTTTAACTGGTTATGATGCCTACTCTCAACTTAGGTTACAGAAAAACACATCAAGTGGGGCCTTTTTTTTTTCAGTTTAACAAACAATAAATGGCTTCAAGTCACAGAGCTGCCTTTTCATCTTCTTAAACACAGTGAACGTTTCATTACCAACTTTTGCAACATTGTTCTTAAAACAGCAATGCAAACATTCAAAAGGTACAGTTGAAGGGAGAGGGGAGTAAGAACGCATAACTTTGCGCTATTGCTGGAAAACAAAACAGGCATTCATCAAAAGCTGTGGTACATTTAGACAGTGGAATACCATGCCGCTAAAAAAAAAAAAAAAAAAAAAGGATCTTTTACCTTTTGAGACCACACGGATGGGCCTGGAGATTATTATGCTAAGTGAAATAAGCCACTCAGAGAAACATAAACATCACTTATATGTGGAATCTAATGAACCAAATGAAATCATGAACAAAATAGGTCCAGAGACAGGGAAGCATGGAACAGACTGTCAGAAATCAGAGGGAAGGGAAGGAGGGGACAGGAAGAGGTTAACCAAAGAACTTATATGCATGCATCCTGGACACAAACAATTGTGTGAGAAGGCCTAGGGTGGGATGAGAGCCAGCTGGTGGAGGGGGGTCAAAGGGCAGAGGGAGTAGGAGACATCTGTAATACTCTCAACAATAAAAATAACTTTTAAAATATTAGAGGCTAGATCTAACTATAACAAACTTCTTGATCCCGGTCAGGTCACATGGATAGAAATTTACATTCAAACGGAGCACCAAAATAACTTCCCTTCTGGAGGCAGCATAGAATTTAACCTGTTAGCAGGAGTGGCAAGGCTGAAAGCATAACTTTGAGGGGGTGGGGCTGGAAGCTTGGAGTACTCCACAAATTTAAAGGGAAAGAAGCCAGTTTCCCTTAGGCCCGTGGTGAAAAACAGGTCAGGGAGCAAATGTAACTTTGTACAAGGTTCTCAGGAACTCCCCAGAGATGCGCACCCCAAGCTAGGCTTTAGGGCCCCATCATTTGAGATCACCACCTCTGAAATCACAGACAGTGATAAACCTATCTGGGTCCCCATCGACTGAAAGCCCAGAATTCCTATTTGGAAACCAAAGTTCTGGTCCGGGACAAATCCTGCATAGTGTTAGGACGCGCTACACAGAGCTATTTCCTTATGCAAAAAGGGACAGGGTGGTGAATCAGGAGGAAAGAGTCTGCATCCTTGGGATAAAATTGCCCATTTCAGGTGCCGTGGGGAATGTCAGCTGGAGCCCGGCCTTACCCTGAGACCCCACCCTCTTTGGTGCCAGACAGGCCAGCCTTCCGTCTACCGGGCCTTTCCGGCACCAGAGCCTATGGGGACCCCGGGGCGTGGGCGCAGGAGGCGCCGGTGCGGCTCTGTCCGCGGGGCCGTGCGCTGGGCTCTGCAGCGCGCACCGCGGCGGGCGGGCGCCTCCCGCAGTAGGTCAGCGGCGCAGCCCAGCCAGCCTCGCCCGCATCCGGACAAAGAAGTCCGCTCCTCCTCCCCCTGAGTGTCCGTTTCTTTGGTGAGTGCTGGCGCCGAGGCGAGCGCGGGCGAAAGCGTGCCGTCCTCTCCCGCCGGCCCAGCCTGGTCCTTGCAAGTCCGCTGTCAGAGGCAGCTCCTGGCCGCGGGTTCGGAGCGCGGGAAAGCCAAGCGCGGGCCGTGCAGGGGGTGTCACTGGGCGAGTTTGCAGGGAGCGGCGGGGGCTCCCGGGGACACTGCAGCCACAGCGAAAAGCAGGCCCTCCCGCCTTCGCCGCGGGGGAAGCATTGCCCAGGGTGGAGCGAGGGCTCGCATGGAAGCTGGCAAAGGAGAGAAGGGATGAGCCAGGGGGAAAGTGAACCTGAGAGCCAGGAAGTCGGACGGGGTGAGGAAAGGAGCCGAGTCCTTGAAATTGAAGTCCAACTTCCAGCAGGATGGCGAGCGGGTGCGGGCCGTTACAGTTGGGACGGCGGCTGGGTGCAGTTTATTTTATTATTATTATTTTTTTCTCCCTGAATGGCTGAGTCTTAAAGTTTCGCCGCGAAAATCTGGGGAGCCTTGGCGGGAGGAGGCGGTGGCTGGGACTAAACATCCTGAAGCCAGGGTAGCTTCTCCAAACCCGGGAAGTTTCCCGCGTCCCCTGGCCCAGCCTGGGGCCCCTCCTGGGAGAAGGTGTATGTGTGGGAGGGAGGGGGTGAGGAAAGGGGACAGGGGGCGAGATCTGGAAGCCGCGGGCGGAGCCACTGAGCCAGAGAAAAAGCAGCAAGTTATCCTAAGGGTCGCTTCCAGAGGGCAGCGGGAGGCAACGTGGAGGGGGCGGGCCTGCCGGGCGCCGGCTGCCCCTCCCGCGTCACCCGCGGCAGAACTTGCACTTGAGGATCTTCTTGAAGGCGTTCTGGAAGTCCTTGTTGAAGTAGGCGTAGATGACCGGGTTGAGCAGGGAGTTGGAGTAGCCCAGCCAGTTGATGATGGCGCCCAGTAGCCGGGGCATGTGACAGCTGCTCTCACAGAAGGGCAGGACCAGGGCCACGATGAAGAAGGGCAGCCAGCAGAGGATGAAGGTGCCCATGATGATGCCCAGGGTCTTCACCGTCTTCCTCTCGCGGGCCAGGGCCATCTTGCGCTTGGCCTCGGCGGCGTTGCGCTCATTTTTATTCTCTAACGGGTTGGGGGCCCAGGGGACAGGGCCCGCCTCGCTGGGCAAGGGCAGGTGCTCTTTGGAGTTGCCCATCAGGTGTACTTCGATCACCTCCAAGGCCGCGCCGTCCTCGCCCAGCCGCACCGCCCCGTTGGCGCACTGAACGCCCCCGGCCTTATGCCCCGCGCCCTGCCCCCACCCTCTGCCCTCGGGCTCCCCATTGATGCTCCTCCGGGGCGGCGGGGCCGGGGACGCCCCCAAGCGGGGGTGGTCCGCTCTCTGCTTCTTCTTCTCCACCTTCTTGACCGTCTTGCGGATGCGAAAGCGCGCGGCTCGGAAGATGCGCCCGTAGAGCACCAGCATGAGGAGCAGCGGGATGTAGAAAGCGCCGAACGTGGAGTAGATGGTGTAGCCGTGGTCCTTGCTGATGGTGCACGCGTCAGGGTCCGAGCGGTCCTCGGGGGTGCGCCAGCCCAGCATGGGCGGGATGGAGATGAGGAAGCCGATGAGCCAGGTGAGCGAGATGAGCGCGGCGGCCCGCCGGGGCGTCCTCTTGTTCACGTAGTCGATGGGGTCGGTGATGGCCCAGTAGCGGTCCAGCGCGATGGCGCACAGGTGCAGGATGGACGAGGTGCAGCACAGCACGTCGAGGGAGATGAACAGGTCGCAGGTGACCTGGCCCAGCGTCCACTTGTTGAGCACCTGGTTCCACGCGGCCATGGGCAGCACGAGCACCGACACCATGAGGTCGGTGACGGCCAGCGAGCCGATCAGGTAGTTGGCCACGTTCTGCAGGGAGCGCTCCAGCGCGATGGCAGCGACGACGCACGCGTTCCCCAGCACCGCGCTGCAGATCAGGGTGCCCAGCAGCAGCGAGGTGACCACCTGGTAGCTGAAGGTCACGTCGGAGAGGCCGGCAGCGCTGCCGTTTGTCCCGAAGAGACCTTCGGAGGAGGAGGAGGTGGAGGAGGAGGAGGACGTAGTGTTGTTGCCCTGTCGGGGGCTGAGCGCATCCATGCCTGCGCGCCCCCAGCAGGGGAGCGGGATGGAGCAAGAGCTGCGCGAGGATCCCCCTCGCCCCTCCCCCTGGGGTCGCAGCCCCTTTCTCCTGGGATCTTGGGGGGAGGGGATCAGGGGCTCAAGCAGGAAGTTCTTACTGCTCAGGCGAAGGCATCTCGGAGGAGGAACTGCTTCTGGGGCTCCGTGGGCTCCCGGGGTCCAGCGCGTTCGGGAACTCTAGGTGGGGAGCGAGTTGGCCGGAGAGCAGCTCCGAGATCTCAGAGCGACAGAGAGGTGGCCGCCGCAACGTCTGTCCCCCGCTGTTCATTTTACTTTGCCGCCGCCCAGCTGGCTGCCGGAGCCGGAGCCTCCCCACCAGCACAAACAGTCTCCAATCCTATAGAAGTATCTGGAATACGGACACCCCATCCTCCACGGTCCTTCTGTGACCCTCCTCGATTCTCTCCCTCCCGCTCTCCCACTCGCTTCTCTTTTTTATAAAAGCTTCCTCCTTCCACTGGCCTTCCCTTTCAGGTTCCCTCTCCCTTCTCTCACCCTTTCTTCATCCCTCTGTGTGTCGTTCAGACAGCCCGTCTCCCTCCCTCCCACGCCAACCCTCCCTTCCTAATACTTCCCCAACCCCGAGTGTCTCTTTCCTCCGGCTGCCCGCCCTCCTCTGCCTCTAGCTCAGCAACTTAAGCTTTCGAGCCTCTTTTGTCCTCACGCTTAGAACTCGCTCGCATGCACTTGATCTCCTGGTCAGACCAACAATGCAATACATACTTTTGCCTCCCACCCACCCAAACTCGAGGGGGGAATTCTAACTATCCATTGCTTTATATTCCTGCCAAATTCCATCATATAGTGGCAGTAGGAAATAAGGAAAGGAGACACTAGAAGTCTGAGGTGGGGAGGGGGGAGGGGACAAGCCTAGTTCAGTATGTAAATTATGGTAAATTGATGGAATGAAAATAGAGTATCTGCTTTTTACAGACCACCCCATCCATCATTAAACATTTGACTCCCTTGGGGACGATGTTGCCTGTGACCTTTTTTAACCTTGGGGAATGGGGGGGGGGGAGGGAAGGGGGAGAAAGGAATTTAAAGGACCTGTCAAAGACAAATAGCTACATCTCTAAAGGAAAGCACTCAATTCAGTATGTATTTAGAACACACTCACACAAGTCTTCCCAACACCATTTGTCTTTTTTTCTTTTTTCTTATTTATTGTTCAGTATTATAGATGTTCACTATCTCCCTTCCCCCCCCCCCCTTTCTCCCTCTCTACCTAGCCACTGCCCCACCCTAGGCTATCCCCACACTATTGTCTGTATTTATGGGCTATGCATATATGCATATGTTTTCTTTGGTTAATCTCCCCTCCAACTCCACCCCCACCCGCACTTCCAAGATCTATCAGCCTGTTCCATGCATACTTGTCTCTGGATCTAAATTCAGTGAACGTTGCCATTCCCCATAGCTTTGTGGTGAGTAAATTTAGGGAAGGGGATCCTTCATCTGTGTGTTGCAATGAGTTCGGGCATTTCATATGGCTTTTTGCTTTTCTTACCAGAAAGAAATCTCTAAAGGAGAATTTAGTGGAACCCCTGGTCGCTGGCCCCTGAGTTTCTCTTAAACTCAGGAATTGGATTCAGCACCTGGGACAGCTCTAGGCAATCAGGACTTATGCCGCCACCTTCTGGCAAAGGCTTCAGAGCGCCATCTAGGAACCCTAGTTATGCAAAAATTCAGCAGGTATTGAAATCCCATATCTTCCAAGAAAGAGGGGGGGAGGGGGGGAATGGTTATAAAAAGAAAAGTAACATTGAATCATGTATTTTTATTCTATTCCCTTTAAAAAATAGTGTTCTCTTTTGCTCTTACCAATCATATACACCAAGCTTATATTGTCTAGATGATATTGAAAGCCTGTAGCATCTGTCACTCAGAAGTTCTCTCTAGGGATGAGGTTTAGGTAGACTTAAGCAGACACTTCCTTACCTTCATCTGTGTTGGTTTTGTTCCGACAAAGCCTGTACTCTGGGACTCACACATTTGCACATATTTACCAATGGGGTAGGTGAGGGAGCAATATTGGATTTTCCAAATGGGGATGACTTCACATAGAAAATAAAGAGGTTGCTATTGGTTGGTTCCAAGCTATTTCTTTTATCAAGGAAACCATATTTAATCCCTTTTGAACATGGGTAAAGAATTATAGTATTCCTAAACCCTAAATAGATAGGTAAATGACAAATTCACTTATACATTCTGATAGCATGACTGAAGTAAAGGAAAAGTTCAGAATGCAATCCCGAAAACAGATGACTCCAGATAACATGCACAGATTCACTCCAGATAGCAATCGTCTTAATATTTTCAAATTTGAGCTCAGAATTTCATAGCTTTCAATTCTTTAAGACCAAGCAAAAGAACAATCACCAAAGCATCAAAGAAAATCTAATTGTGCCAATGCATACAGTACAGGGCAATGTGTTTGAAGAAGGATGATTTTACAGTTCAGTGCTGGGCAGTTTCCATTTAAACACTTCAGCATGCTGCAGTAATGAACCTGACATTTGTAATGGTTTATGGCATTGAAAAAACAGATGAGGATACATGGTGATTCTGCCTATAGACTCTGAAGATTCTTTTAAAATTTTTTTGAAGGTTCTCATTCCCCTTTTTAAAATTTCCTGCCAAACACAGAACTAAATAATTGTTAAAATATATATAATCCAAAGATTATAATAGCAAAATAATTAAAATATGGATTCTCCAAAGATAAAATTCTGGAAATATAGTTGATAAATATAAACAATGAGTAAAATAAATTTAAATTAAAAAAGTAAATATATACATGTTTAGGACATACTTGAATAGGAATTATATCAGACTTAGCACATATAAATAAATATATGTCAGTAAATATCTCAGCAATTATGCATTCTTCTAGCAGATTCCAAATGGTTTAATAACTGACAATTTTTTTTCAAGAATGCTAAAATTAATATTCATGAGGACTGGCATTTGCAATTCTATTTTAATATTTTATGATGCAGCATTCTTAGTCAAGTTGGAAAAAGTTCATGTTCATGTATTCCTTCAAAATAATGTATACAGTATTTCAAACATTTCATTTTTTAAAATGTATAACAAGTTTCTTGGGCATTCTGATGAACAATAGGAAGAAAACAAAAGTATAAAACGATATGCAGCATTAATTATGCTTCCATACCAAATACAGTGACTAATAAGTAATTATGTATAACTTATGTTGAATGCTTCTGTGATATATATTAAAAGCAGAATGATATCGCATTTCACCATGTTCACACTTTGCCAAGTCTGCTATGTTAACCCTTAAAGATAAAGAAACACATATAAAAAAAATGATGCAAGCCAAAGATTCTGGATAAAGAGTTAGACTCTGGTTCTTTAAGGCCTCTGAAATCAGCCTAAAGAAAAGTTAGCCTTAAAGCAAATATTATTGATGACATCATTTGAAAACAGGACTTCCAGTCATTCTGCTTTTATTTCTTGTTTGAATTTACTAGATGCAAGTATGAACTTGTCAGTTATGGATCGGAGTATGATACATCATCCATCATATGAAATTTCTCTAATGTAGTTTATGGGAGATAAAGATTTTTAACACTTTTACAGGAAATTTGATGTAAGCCCAGAATTGCAATGTAGTTCTTTGACTAAGGACATAAAGATAAAAAGATATTAGGCTAAGAAGACACTCCTCTACAGAAGCTAGAAGGCAAGAGAATCCAGAAAATTGAAGATGATGTAAGAAACCTCTGGGACAACTTAAAGCGAACCAACATCAGAATTATGGGGGTCCCAGAAGATGAGAGAGAGCAAGATATTGAAAACATACTGAAAGAAATAGTGACAGAAAACTTCCCCTGGTGAAAGAATTAGACTTACAAGGAAATGCACAGAACTCCAAACAAAAGGAATCCAAAGAGGACCACACCAAGACAAATCATAATTAAAATTCCAAGAGCGAAAAACAAAGAGAAAATATTAAAAGCAGCAAGAGCAAAGCAGGTCGTTACCTATAAAGGAGCACCTATATGATTGTCAGCTGATTTCTCAACAGAAACCATGCAGGCCAGACAGGAATGGCAAGAAATATTCAAGGTAATGAATAGTAAGAACCTACAGCCAAAGATAATCTATCCAGCAAAGCTAACACTCAGAATCGAAGGTCATATAAAGAGCTTCACTAATAAAAAAATAAAATAAAAAAAAAAGCTAAAGGAGTTCATCACCACCAAACCAGAATTATATGAATTGCTGAAGGGGGTTCTTTCAGAAGAAAAAGTAAATAAAGATAAAAATTATGAACAACAAATACGTAACTGTCAACAAGTGAATCTAAAAACCAAGGAAATTAAAAAAAAAATCTGATGAACAATATTAACTGTTGAATATAATAGAATCAGAGATATGGAAGGGGAGTGAATTGATGATTCTTGGGGAAAAGGGAAGAGGAGGATGTGGGAAGAGACAACATAAACTGCACCTATGGATGAGGACAATGGTGGGTAGGGAAAGGGCAGAGGGTGGGGTGGGAACTTGGTGGAGGAGAGCAATGGAGAGGGGGGGGGAAAAGGAACATTTGTAACAATATGAACAATAAAAATTTATTTAAAAAAAATATTAGGCTAAAGTTTTGCTGAATGTCCTATCATTACTGAAGTCTCAGGAATGGTTGGGGTTTCTCAGTAATTGATATGTTTATCCATAATCCCCAAATTATGGCTAATTTATTAATGAGTCAGTAACCTATAAAGTGTTGAAATTTTACTTAGGAGATTACAAGAGTAACTTAAAAGTTTCTATTTAAGAAGTTTTTACTTTCCTTCAAGTAATTTGATAGGATAGGTTATTTTTAAAACTAAAAATACCATTCTGAATTTAATTCTCCTCAATCCTCAAATGCTAAAGTAATAGGGCAAATATAGTTTTACCAGCACTGTGAAATTTTACTGGAATTCACC